GAAAATGCCGGAGGTTACATTTTTCAAATACTGATTTATCAGGGCCTACTCATGTTCGGAGAAAAGGAGCTGAGCACCGGAAGCAGGGTTCTATTTGATATTCTTGGCGCCAGCAACATTGTAGGTATTATTTTTCGAATCCTCGTGGGGTTACCTGCAATATTGATTATGATTGGTAAGTTGTTCGCAAACATTTGTTTCACCTTTCTTTTCATTCGTTCTTTGACAATCGATAATTTCAGTATTTTATATTGTTAAAAGAAATGATAGGAATACAGTTTATACATCAACATTTCCTGCCTTCGTGCTCATGAACAAAGTATGTTTTTCTTGCCGCATGCAGTATCTGGAGTTTTCAGTAGCAAAGAGGATGCTCAATCTAAGGTTTCACTTGGAGTGGGTATTTATGCTGGAATCACCGTCTTTACTCTTACCTTGCAGTGGGGTGTATGTGTAATTTTTGGAAGGAGAAAGTTGCCACAGGAATCGACGTCTAGTCATGCAGAGGTAGCGCAAACTAGTTCAAATTGTTTGCTGGCAAAAGAAGTCATCACTGACTTAAAGGGTCTGCCTCTTCCTCCTGAATCGTTTGAGATTTGCATGTATGTATAAGAGCTGAAAATTCTTTCTTTAAGTGCAGATACCGGTGTTACGATCGACGAAAAGACTCGTCGCACAGCTGGGATTATGCTCTTAACTTTGATTCCTTACATAATCATTCAACTTGTAGATATCTTCAAAATATCATTTGGGACCCACGTAGTGATTTTGATATTACTCATCATATCATCCACGATGCTACTATTATATTTCGTCTACCAGGTAGCATGTAGAGCTAATGATGTAGAACTAGCTCTATAACATACTTATCCCTTTTGACATGATTTCATGCATAATATTTGTAATTTTCTTTTCATTTTTCAGGTTATGAATCCTTGGATGCAAGAAAGGAGTTTAGCCTACACAAAGTATGAGACAGTGAGAACAGGATTTCTGCAGCACCTGCAACAACATGGAAAGCTCATTGATGAAGATGGGAACCTTAATGATTCTGTCATCAAAAAGTAATTTTATAAAACATTATGCGTTGCATATATAATCCAATGAAGGGCTCTCATTAAATGCTTGAATTTGCAGTTTATTTGCTGAAACAGATAATGATGCCAACAACGCTATAACAAAGGATGAAATAGAAATGTTGATGCGTGATTTAATTAATAAAGGAATGATGAAGGTTGACAAAGAATTTGCTGTTTCTGAAGTAATGAAGACATTTGATTTTAACCACGACGGGTCAATTAGCCATCAAGAATTCGTCGACGGTTGCAAAAAATGGATTACTGAAACCAAACATTCAACTAAAATTGATGATAACTCTTCAAGTACTCCCAAGGCAAGCTACTTTTTCATTGCAATTTATCCATGAAGCCATTTATACGCTTTAGATAGTTCACTGACTAGATTATATATGTTTTTCCTTATTACCCATTGAATTGCAGATTGTGAATGAAAAAGTGGTGTATGGAGAGTCGTTAGTATGGACTTTTATCAAATCTATATTACAAGTGTTGTTGGGTATTGTTGCAATGACCTTCCTTGGAGGACCTCTGACAACTAGTATCCTACAGTTATCATATTCCATGAATGTGCCTTCTTTCGCCATCTCGTTTGTTGTAGTGCCATTGGCCATGAATTGCAGAGCTGCAATAGCAGCAATTTCTCCAGCCAGTCACAAGAGTGAAAAGAGTGCTTCTTTGACATTTTCAGAGGTATGTCTCTCTTTTAAATCACTCCGTTTAAAAGTTAAAGTAGATACAGAATAGACGACAAGTCCCCAACGTGTCGACAACATTCATTTTTTAGAAAGGCATCATGTTTACAATTTTCACAAGTGGCGACGGTGGAAGTTTAAAACAGGACCTTAGGAAAACCATGTTATCTCACATGCACAACAACATAAAAACATGCAAAACATACTTATTGGTCTCATTTTGATTTACAGATTTATGGTGAAGTTGTAATGAGCAACATCTCAAATTTGACAGCACTGTTAGCAATTGTTTATGCAAAGGATTTGAATTGGGATTATTCAGCAGAAGTGCTAACAGTTTTGGTGGTGTGTGCCATAGTAGGAATTCTTGCATATTCCCGCACCAGTTATCCACTATGGACTTG